TTTTTTTAGTGATACTCACATCAGGAGAATTACTATATTATTACACAATGTAATCATTTTTGAAGCCCTTTACCAAGGATTCAAAGACTATTAACCAGTCTATAAGCCCCCTTAAATTGGACACAATATTGTGCCTGGGTGGACATTTTTCTGAGAAGTTCTTTTGATTCCTGGAACACACCTCTCACTATTCAGACTAACAGCATGAGTGGCCACTGGGCATCTGTGATTCGATGAAGCCCCCAGGTGATTCTGGCAGTCAGCCAGGTTTAGGGACCACTGGTGTGGATATACTGCCCTCGCCCCATCTAAATTCACAGCTTTTGCTGCCCCTGTCGCCCCTCACTCTTTCTTCACTGAAACTCTTGAAGTATAATGGCTTTTAATTTGTCTTTACTCTAGGAGAAAAGATCACTTTGAGACTGTGTTCAACAGAGGAAGAAACAGTAGAGCTTCTTAGCAAAGTCCTTAATGGTAACAAGTTGGCATCTGAAGCATTAGCCAAGGTCGTTCATCAGGATGTTGCCTTTACTGACCCAACTCTGGATTCAATAGAGATCAACATTCCACAGGACATTCTGGGAATTTGGGTGGATCCCATAGGTAAGTGTAGGGACATTATGTTTGCTTTCATTTATTTGTTCTTGTTTGCAATCCTTTTTTTTTGTTTTTGTTTTTTGGTTTGAAAAAATAAAAATTATTGAGTGTAATTTAACTCTCCTAGAAGTTTTTAAAAGTTTTAAAGTTTTAAAATGATAAAGAGTTGAGGTGTATGTGTTATGTGTTGTGTTATAGATATGTGTATTTATACATATAAACATACACACATAGCTGTAACATTTATATAAACATGTATACACATACCTATAACACACACCTATGTACATACAGGCACATATACAGAGATGAATTAGCTCACCTTTAAAAGGCTTCAGAGCCAGACTGGTAAATAAGTGAGAGAATGAAGTGATAGCAGTTATGACCAATTGAGCACACATGCCATTCAAAGAGCACCCAGCTCCAGCAGATTGTTGGCATATGGGAGTATAAGCCAAATCCTCAGATTTTTAAAGAGAAACCAAAATGAAGGGTTTTTGGGGATGTTTTTGGCTGGCCAGTAAGAGGATCCATACCCTTGACCCTAGTGTTACTAAAATGAAGATTGTTAAGTGAGATCTCCCAGTTTCAACCACTGGCTACTAATTTAATTAAACAATCAAACAATCAAAAACACCAAAACAGGTTGAGCAAAGCCAGGATGAATGTGGTCAGTTTGTGAGACCTGTGTAAACTTCACCATTATTTTTTTTTTGTCATTATCGTAGTAGAAACATAATCTATAACTCATTGTTTTAAAAATGTAGCCCATATCTTCAATGATGCTGTTAATACAAAGTCCTAGGTATTAATTTGAAGAATTCCTCGCCCCCCACCTTTTTCCTTCCCACTTTTCTGGCTTATTCTTACCCAACACAACTGGGACCATTTATTATGCTGAGCAGGAGGATTCCCTCATCCATCTCATCCTGCAAGTGCATTAACACAGCATTATAGAAATGGGTTTAATCATCAGAGAATTACACAACATTCAGCTAATGGATTACATATAGAAACCAAGGATCTTTCCCAAAATCTTTATCACTTAATAAATTGGCATCAGTTATGGTTTCTGAGGGACAGGGATCTCCTGTTTCTTGGCTCTACCCTGAACTGATTCTGTGATCTAGCTCTCTGGATCTTTTGCCAGGAACATCCTTAACTGTGTGTTAACTCGCTAGATGTTGGCAGTCAGCTGCTGGTCTATACATTTAAGAGGAAACTTAGTTCCTTGGCTTCTTTTTCACAGGAGCACCATTAATTCCTTCCTTTTGTGCCACCATCATTGTCTCTTCCTTCTAACGTAAGGGACCAAATAAAGAAGCAATAATAATAATCTGACAGATTCATGGAGGGAGGCTTTTCCATCTCACATTGTACTAGTCCACTGATTAGTAACAGTTCTAAAAAAAAAAATCCCACCAGTTATCCTGAGTTACTAGCTTTTAAAGGCTTTTGACATGTGACAAATATTTGAGTATTATACGCAAGGTGCTATGCTTGATGCCATGATAACTATAGACATGTCCTCTCCTTTCAAGAGTTTTCATATAGTCAGGAAAATGAAACATTAGCAGCTTGAAAGTGAAATACAATTGGTCAAATAACAATTCAATACAAGTGACATCCAAAGGGGAAACCTGATTGGTTGCCAAATTAGAAGAGAGACATGATATAGGACAAATTTTATAGATGTATTTATTATCTTCTAAATAATCTTTACCTGAATCCAAACACATGTGCTTCATTTTTTAGATTCAACTTACCAGTATATAAAAGGTTCTGCTGACATTAAATCCATCCAAGGAATTTTCCCTTGTGGACTTCAGTGTGTCACCATTTTAATTGGTGTCTATGACATACAGACAGGGGTGCCTCTGATGGGAGTCATCAATCAGCCTTTTGTGTCACAAGACCTAAACACCCTCAGGTAAAAGATGAACACTCACGGTATGTTACGGTTTTTAGAACTTATGACCTCAGCCTTGCTTATTGTCAGGATTATCACTCTACATGACATTCCCATGACTCGATAGGATGAGGTATTCCCACTAAAGTCTGCATGTTTGAATTAAAGTTCCTTCTATTCTCAATCGTGGATTTGGCGTAATTGTATTTGGGGCCAAGTGCATTCTGATAGAAACTTCAAAATAAATACTATTTTGGAGAAATTATAGTTTTACATTTAGAGCATAGCAATCCTGTTCCCTGTGTCATGAACCCACTCAAAACTGGATTAATACAGGTGATTAACACGATCTTCCAATACATTTGGAACAAGATAGATGTCATCACTGTCTAGCCAGTTGAATTTTTGTAAAATTTTAGAAGAAACTCAAAACCAAATATAAAAATTATCCAATGAAAAGACTGGTAAGTGTGGCCAGGAATAGAAAGTAACTGTGGGGTCTCTCTGCTTATAAATGCTGTCAGCATCACCTCTCTTTCTGCCTCCTCCCTCCCTACCCTTCCTGTGGACTCTTGAACAGAGCATGGAGGACAGCCAGGACACCATCTGCCTCTGATCCATGACCTGTGCTTTGAGCGTTGACTCCCGGGCATGGCAGAGTCCAAGTGGAAGTAGTAGCAGCTTCAGCTTTTTGCTTTGTTTTTTGGTTTTTTTGGTGGCTGGCCAGTTTGGGGATCTGAACGCTTGATGTTATAACACTATGCTCTAACCAACTGAGCAAACCAGCAAACCCCTAGTTTTTTACTGAAATAGGTCATATTTTTACAGAGGACTACAGATTTTTATTAAACTTTTAGTTGCTTCAGGTGAGTAAGTATTGTTTGCTCTTTAATAGTCACAAGTTTACACCTCTGGAATTTTGAAGTTTTTTCTTTACCCCTACCTTTTTCTAAACCAAAAATATGTTTGTCATCTTTAAAAGGTCATTAAGAAGTTAAAAAGAATTGGCACAGCATGCAGACAAAATCATGGCGTAGAGGTGGAGGTGGTCAAAGTCATTAGTGCCACAGATTCTGGAGTGACACTGCCTAGGTTTGAATGCAGATTCAACTCCCTGGGTGGGCCGCAGCGATTTATTTACTTTCTCTAGGCCTCTGTTTTCTCCTTTGTAAACAGAGGACATTGCCAACATCGATAGTAAGTTAAGCATTGATAAATGAATGTTCTGTTGCCAAAAATAACATTTTAAGTCCATCTTTCTTGGTGTTAGAAGACAAAGTGGAACTAGTGAATAAGAATGAAAAGGAGTTGCCAAATGAGGAATGTTATAGGGATTGTAAAAGAGCTGCAGATTAAAAAGAGAGATTATTTATCTGTTCCTCTTTTTCCCCATTAAACTTTAAATACCAAAAGTGACAATGAAACTTTGCAGTGTTTCTAGAAGCTGGAAATCACACAAATATATTAGCGTTTTCCTAGATTGATGTGGTGATGTGGTAGAATTGAAAGGATTGCTAACTCTGCAACATCACAGGCAGCTGCATGCATAGGAATAACTTTTAAGAATGAATTAGCTACTTGATTTCCATTTTCACATCATGAAGTTTGAAAGCAATATGAATAATGGAGAACAAATATGCTAGTCACCTCCACCAATGGAATTTTCCTTCTACAGGTGGAAAGGACAGTGCTACTGGGGCCTTTCCTACATGGGGACCAACATCCATTCACGTCAGCTCGCCATCTCCAAAAGAACCGTCAAAGAAACACAGACTGAAAACGCCAGCTCTGAGGTGGAATTCTCTCACCCTTTGTCAGCAGTCATTAGTACAAGTGAAAAGGAGTCTATCAAAGCCGCGTTGTCACGTGTATGTGGAGACCGCATATTCGGGGCAGCTGGGGCTGGTTACAAGAGCCTCTGTGTTGTCCAAGGCCTTGTTGACATTTACATCTTTTCAGAAGACACCACATTCAAGTGGGACTCTTGTGCTGCTCATGCCATCCTGAGGGCCATGGGTGGGGGAATAGCAGACTTGAAAGAATGCTTAGAAAGAAATCCAGAACCAGGGCTTGATTTGCCACAGTTGGTGTACCACGTGGAAAATGAAGGTGCTACTGGGGTCGATCGGTGGGCCAACAAGGGAGGGCTCATTGCCTACCGATCCAGGAAGCAGCTGGAGACATTCCTGAGCCTTCTCCTCCAGAACCTTGCACCTGTGCAGACACAGACATAGATGGACTGACCTCTGTGTACATAGAAACCAAATCGTGAAACTGTTCTCATTATCTCTATCTTTTGAAGATAGCTTTGTCCTATTGATGGTTATCATTTACCTTCCTCTTTTGAGGAGCATTTTCCCATCAGGTGTTCATAATTATGTTAATGTCAATAAATTAATGAGATTCATGCAGCAATTAATTGGGGTATGAAATCCTTTCAGCAAATATTGTGCTGTTAGTGTTTATTGGAACACTTCAATAAAATATTGAAGAAAAGGGAAAAAAATCCTGCTCAATTAGTAAAACTAAACATCTAAATAAGAGAAATGTCACTGAAATATTAGGGAGATTACAGCAGGTGTTTGCTTGGGTTTTGTTTCCTTTCTTGAAAGGAAAATCTGCAGTTTTAGCCAATGGCAGAACATTTAGCACTGTGAATGGAATATTTTAGCCAAGTTCATGTACTTTCAAAAGTATTATAAGAAGTAAAGCCTGGAGCACTGTGGGCTCCCTTTTCACAGAGACAGGGCAAGACAGGACACACAAACACAGATTGAGAGAGACACACACAGAGGGAGACACACTCCATTTCTGTACGTGAGGCAGAAGGGGACGGGGTAAAGAGGTTTCTGCAATTTTTGCATATTTACTACACTTCACCGAAAACCAGAGGTAATCTTCAGATATATACAACCCCATGTCGACTAGCATCCCATATTGAATGTTCTCTGAGGTGGACACAGACCACTTTTTCCACTCTTTAGCAGCCCTGGTAACCAGGTGCCAACTGGAGGGATCAAACGCTCAGCTCTGATTTCTTTCCGCCCTGCGCCCTCTGGGGGCCAAAGGATGTTTCTACAGCATCCTCTGTTTTCCTGAAATTAAAATGAAAATAACACCTTTTTTTTTTGAATGTCCTTACACTTAAAAAGAATTTTCTTTAATTGACAAATAAGAATTGTATGTGTTTATGTTGTGCCACATGTTTTGAAATATGTATACATTGTGGAATGGCTAAGTCAAGCCGATTAACATATTACCTCTTTTTTTTGTGGTGAGAACACTTAAAATGTACTGTTAGGAATTTTCAAGTATACGAGGGTATATCAAAGGTTTGTGGAAAATAGCATT